TTGAAAGACTGAAATATTGCTATGAGACTCGTTTTACGCGAAATTCCGACATCTAGACTTAGACATGGTGTCGGAGAGGATAAAAAGAGCTGAGTTACTTACAGCTACAATTAAGTATAGAACAAGTGCTTTTCTCTGAAATAATTATTGAGTTCTAACTTAGCGCTGTTTTAGAGCCCTATTGACATCCGTGCTTCTGATACTGATTATGCCTTGCTACATAGGATGCATTTCGTCCATTACGACCACGCCGGTCCTATCAACATCAGCAACAATGGGCATACAAGTAAGTACTGTCAAAATACATGTAAAGGTTTATGCGAGGTATACATAATAATGTTTTTGTGTACAATACCTTCTTTGTCCGCATACCTGCCATATTTACTTTTGAAATGTTTTTTCCTTTTGCAAAAACATATCAAAAGTATTTTTGCGGTTCCATCTCATTTCATACTGCCGATTAAATCATTTACAACATTTTCTGTCTGACTGCACCACAACATTTTTAAAAACTTGAAACTCATTAATAAACACTGCTTTGAAAATAATAAAAAGCTGAAAATTTTAAAATCTTAGATTTTAGGATAGTCCTTTTTCAGTTGTCGTTACATCTCAACTCATTAGGGAGTCGTTACATGCCGGACACGTATTTTGACAAAAGTGCACAAACATCTTAGTTAATGTGTAGTTGAGAGTTGTTTGGAAGTATCGAGCATGGGTTCAAAAGCTTAAATAGAGTTTCTTCCCATTTCCTCTCGTACTTTTATTACATAAACTCACTGAAAGTCATTCCATACCCAAAAAGAGTTTTGGTGAAAGTGCAAACGCGTCCTAGCTAACCAATGGAAAAGTGGAGGGAGGTTTGGAAAATCTTTTGCTTAGAATCGATACGGTTACAATTTTTTACGCTTTCAAATCAGTTCCATGATAAGGGACGTCAAATGTCAGTGCGAAGTGATTGACGTCGTCAATTGTTTTAGTTCTTGCAATCATCGTTTCCAGTTCGCATGCTGGAAATATAAGGGATGCCAAAATTTGACAACCTTAGATCACTTATACTTTACAGAAAGCTATTAGTCATAGGGAAAATTATGATCATTTTGATCTAAGGGTATGCAAAGGCATCTACAACAATGGGAAACGATATTTTTCAAAGCAAAGTGTGCTGGAAAAGGCCGTGCATAATAAAATTTTACTTTCGTGCCGGAGAATAATAAGTAGGAAGTTGTCGTAATCAACCAAAACCTTAGCAGTAGCTCTGGATAATACAGGTGTAATGTGTTAGATGAATTAAAACGAAAACCTGTGATGTTGAGCCTAAGGCCCATTTATGTTTCGCAGTTCGAATAAAATTTGTTATAGTTATGGGAGATGGTTTCGAGCAATGGGGTGCGAAACAGCCATATATCCAAGGTGGTGGGCTGAAACATCGCTACCGCCTCGTTCAATTCCACTATCAC